TTGTGAATCTGTGTATTGTTGCATGTGTGTTAATTTGCTTGTGTGTTGTTGCATCAAGAAGAAAAAAGGTTGCATGTGTGTTAATTTGCTTGTGTGTGTTGTTGCATCAAGAAGAAAAGAGGAAGAATGGAGGAAGAAAAGAGGAAGAATGGAGGAAGAACATACCTGCTGCAGTTTGGAGGCGATGGCAGAGGTGATGAAGGAGCGTGAGATTCTGGAGAAGAGACAGAAGGGATGAAGGAGATATCCATTAGACTTTGATAGGCGTGTGAAACTGTTGGGGCAAATTTGTTGTCAAATAAATTTTTATTAAAAGACCTACTTGCTTAGCACTTTCAGCCTTCAATATTAAGTAGTAGGTATAGAGTTACTTAAAATTTTGCCTTGCATTTAGGTGGCACTTATTTTATTAAGGAGTTGTAATATTGGGTTATCAAATGAGCTTAATTTATTAAGCACTTAAGTGATCAGTTTTAAGACTTAAGTTAGGTTATCAAACACACCCATCTTATAACCTGTTGGAATTGGGGATGTTCTGGCACTAAAATGTCTCTGGGTTATTTGAGATAGATAGCAACCCTGATATGCTATTTCCAACTAAAAAAGAAAAAGTGCATTCTGTCAAATGAATTTGTCTTGACACCAACTACCTTCTTCTTTAATTACTATTATTTTTTGAAAACCCTTATGGAACCTATTGTATTGGGTCCCATTCTGGCAAAATTTCCAGCCCAATACCCACTCATGAAAATTTTGAGTATGTGCTGGTACTACAATTGATATTACCCTGACCTGAAAGCTTGCTTTTTCAAGTAACCTGTTGCTGTCGTGATGAATTTAATTGTTGAGCCCCATCCTGAAATTATTCCCCAGAGAGGAGGGAAGTTATCCTGGAATTATGTGCATTCTCATGCCAAAAATTGCAAAAAAATAATTAAAAAGAAAATGATGGTAGTCCATGTCTACATCGACGGTAGTCATAATTTCCTGGGATGATATATTAGCTATGACCTTCGCTTCATCTATACAGCCAAGCGTGTATATTATGCACACCTTTATAGTTCCCTTTGTTTTAAGTTGAACTTAAGGAATTGATAGCCTCTTTAACTGTGTCATGCTTTCTTTTTCCATTTGAGCATGGATGTAACATAACTTATCAATATGCAACACCTGGTGATGGAGATATCTAAGTTCATGCAGTATAGCCTGTCGATTGCCTTCAGCCAATAAAGTTTCATTTGGAATGATGGAGCATACTGATATAGTTGTAAGGAACTGGAGTTTAAGAAGACAATTTCAGTCAGTTTGTTATATATGATCTGAGGATGAAATGCATACTCCTGTTGAACTATTAGTTTCAGTTATTTGTTATATTGTGAAAGTAAGTTGTAGTCGTTTACAAACCACAATGAAGTGCACTGGTGCGGAGCCAGACATATTTTCCAGTGGGAGCAACTTAAACTATATTAATATTAAAATTTAAAATATTCACAAAAGTATAGTTTTATTAATAGAACACCAATTAAAGACGCAATTCATATATACGAGCGATATACAAAATGAGCCAACAAAAAAAACTCATTATAGATTTATCTATAAGACCTAATAAAAAAATTTTGAACAGCAAAATTGGGCTCAATCATATATTAAATTTTTAAAAAAAATTTCATAACTAATTCAAAAATTAATTTGTTCAATCACAAACTTAATATTCATCATTTAATTTTAACAAACAATCGAAACTAACTTAAACTATAATTATTCTAGTAAACTAAACCTAAGTATATGAAGTACTTAACTTATCACAATAAAACTGTTCAAACTATCAAATCAAAATAATTTAGTCTAATTATAATGGAGGACTACAAGTTCTAATTCTAATTCTACAAATAAAAATAAAACAAATGAGACGACTACAAGGCCTAATTCCAATTCAATATATAAAAATAAAATACTAGAGAGGACTACAAACCCTAATTTTATTTCAACATAAAAAAATAAATACAAGACTACAAATTCTAGTTTCAATTCAATACATAAAAAATAATACATCAGAAATGATTACAAGTCCCAATTTTATATTTTCAATTCAATATGTAACAAATAAAATACAACAAAGAGTTACAAGCGCTAATTTCAATTCAACATTTAAAAAATAAACCACAAAAGAGGGCTACAAACCCTAATTTTCAATTCTAACATATAAACATAAAACAAAGAAGAGGATTGCAAGCCCTAAATTTAGTTCGATGTATAAACATAAAACAAATGAGAGGGCTAACCTATTTCATAACATATTAGTTAATCTTTAAATGTCCAAATTTTTGATATCATTTTTCATTGATATTTACAAGTGAGACTCATATATTTGTCAAAATAACATAACTGCCCTTAAATCTTTTAAAAAAAATGATTTGGGGGCAAATATCTAATAAATTCTAAATTTTTTAAATTACACTTAGTCCCAAAAATTTTTAAAATTCCAGTGGGGGCAGCTGCCCCCACTGTGAATCCGCCCCTGGAAGTGCATAATTTGATGGTCAACTTTTTTGAGATGTTGGCTACACTGATTGATATTCATCTCCATTTACAAATTGTTTCACTATGTCCTTTTAAGCTTTTGAAATTAATCCACTCCAGATTTTCCCGTGGTGATCTCTTATCTGTTTTATTTTGGCAGGATGAGAAGGATCAACGAATTCAAGAGCTGACCCTTGAACTAAACAATGAGAGGCAGCGATGTAAACGTCGATGCACAGCTTACCAGGAACAGCTGCGCACATTGCTGAAATATATAGAGGAACACACTGATCAAATGTCACAAATTGTTCAAGAAACAGTCCAGCGTGTAAGAGAGCTTGAAAATGAACAGCTAGAGAATTCAGATTGAGGTCCCTAAGTTTTGTACAAATTCCCTTGTTCTTTCATTTTGTACTTGTTTGTGTTCCTCTGAAGCTAATTTGTACTGATGTTATAAACAATCAGATTCAGTCATTGCATGCACATTTGATTTAGATAGCCTGTTTGACAAGTATATCGAGCGTCATAGACCGAAAAAGGCATCAACCAGATATAGCGAACGACATTTGTTGGTAACTGGTAAGGTTGTTTTGTTATGTTTATCATTTTAGGAAGTGATTTTGTGATCATGATTGCAAACACCTTGGATTTATGTGGAGAGAAACAGCTTTGTGCCTTCTTCTATTTTGAAAAGTGTTTCACCCTTAGAGACACTCTTTTATGCTCTAAAAATTTCAACTCTATTTCACTTTTGGTGGATGTTCATAATAAATTCTTCTATGGGAGAAGAGTGGAAGAACCCAAACCTCTCCGAATGTCAAGAGCTCTCTTATCAGCAGCATCATGAGCCTTGGCATAAAGAAATATTCTGTAACCCGAGTCGATTATTTCTTCCATGGTGACTTTCACCATCTCCAATTGAGAATTTGGGTTGTTATTTCGGTGCTATTTGTCATGAGATTTCAACAACATCAGGTGAATTATGAGAACAAGTTGTTTAAATATTGTGATTGAGTTGTTTTTTGAAATATATATATTTTGTGTTTTGGATGAAAGAAATAGTTATATTTCTTCTGAGTTAAAAAAGATAGCCAAACATGAGAAAATTGATTGGATTACTTTATGGATATTCCGGGAAAATTTTAATTAAACAAGCTTTGAACTTGTGGGACACATTGAATTTCTAATAAATTTGTCAAACGTAGAATTGGATAGGAATAGATCTGTTTCATTACCAATACACCGAGCTGAGCTGCATTGAGTTGGATGGGGTGTAAAGATGAAAAATTAAAATCCTATCCCATCCACCCGGCCGGGTGTTTGGATTGCGGGTTAAAGGGTTTAACATAAGCAAAGATGTGGGACTCCATTATCTCACGGTTCGTAAACCAAAATGCGCATGGGAACCCGACTCGGGTTTAATTCCAACCCGGAATTTGGGTTAAATTAAACCCATGGGGAGGGTGTGATAAATTGGCCACCACAGGATACTTAGCAAAATGACAATTTTACCCTTTCACTCCAACATGATGGATCCTTAATGCATGCTCCAACATGATCCTTAATTCATGATCAATCATGCTCCAACATGATCGATCCTTAATACATTAAAGAGGATTGATCATAGAATATAATGATCGATCTTGATAAACATGACGCCCATGACGTCTTTTCATGACCGATCCCCATAAACATGATTGATTCTTAATTTATTATGGGTCCATTTATGGTAATTTAGGACCTAACATGTTTACCATGGTCGATCCTTATATTTTCTTAAAACTTTTTAGGATCAACCATGGTTATGATTGATAATAAACAAGACGTCAAGTACTTTCCTAGAACGACCATTGGTTGTAAGATTAATTTGTAATCTAACGATAAGGTTGTCTTGGATATGGTTAAGGGTATAATAGTCAAAAAGATATCATATTACATCATCGGGCCTACAAAGTGCAAATATGCTTATCAAACATTGATAAGAATAAGATTTACCATATATCTAACTATCCCGATCAAATTTTGGGACTAAATTTAGAACCTAAATGATATAATAACATATTATTTGAAGTCTTTATTGAGGCGTAAATGACATAACACTACATAAGAATATAGAATATGTTAATGATAAAACACGGTTTATAACTTATAAGTAATCCATGAAGAATTTGTTCTTTTCTATTATATATGCCGAAGACTTAGTCTTTACGAGCAATATTATTAAAACTTAATTTACTGACCTAATTCACTATGACCTTTGGATTGACTGTAGGCCCCTCAAATATTGGAACTTGGTGTTGATCTAATTATTCTGCTGAAATCACATCACTATGTCAGCAAATTAAGTGAAATATTTAGATCCAAATAGTCTTTACTTTATACTCACTCAATTCCACTTGCTTTGGAAAATTGAATGTTTACTTCTGCTATTTATACTCACTCAACACCGACTGCTTTGGAGCACAATTTTTGCTATTATTAAATAGTTGGAGACCTTCGACAACCTACACCAACCACAGACAGGAACACCAGAAATGGCAGGGTCAAACCAATCTCTCTCTCTCTTTCTATATATATATATATATATATACACACAAACACATGATAGTGATGGTGATAGTTTTTTCTTCATTCTATATATGGAGGTAGCGTAACTATTATTGATGTATACAACTTATTATTTGTTCGTTCTTTCGTGCATATGTACGTTGGACAATTGCAGAACTGGAGATCATCATCAGGTGAAAGATGTTACTCCTTCTGTCACCGAAATTCAAAAAAATTATGGGCAAGCACTAGATGATCTTGTGAACGTGAACTCACTATTCACCGCGGCGGTCTTCATAGGATTTTCTTTCAGCACGCCAGGCCAGACGAGTCTAGATGGCCGAGAGAAGTGCAATGCCAGTACTTTCATGCTGAAGGTTCTAGTTCTGTTGGAAGTTGCATCTTTCAGTTTCTTCCTGTATTCCAGCCTAATGGCCAAGGCACTCAAGTTGGAATTCACACTCGAAAAGGCAATTCAAACCAAGGGTTCTACTACTTCTTTGAAGTCATATGCGCGTATGATGTTAATATCCACTGTTTGGGCATCTTTGTTTGGGTTTTTGTGCTTGACATTGTCGATCATCTTAGCCATCCAGGTGAAGTTGGGGAAGTTGTCTTGCAAGAATGGATTCACAACCTTTGGGATTTCATTTATGTGTGTGGTTCTCTCTCCTGTTGTCGTTGCCTATCTGAGTTATGCAATTTATGCAAGTCGTAAGGATCCCAGAAAAGGTCATAGCCTTCTAGAATTGATATTCAGTCCTCATGAGGTGCTCGCCCCCTGAATCACTAGATCAGTCTGATGAGAAAGAAAGGATACAAGTAATGCATTATGGTGTGGGTTGTTTGAATTAGTCACTACTTTTTAATAATTTGCCCAAAAACCTTGTGTAAAAGGCAAGAGAGAATGTACGTTTATGTTGTTACAACTTATTAATAAACATACAAATTATCTAGTGTCCTTTACTTCTTGTGTTACCTTTCCCCAATTATTCTTTAAATGCACCTAAAGAAAATTTCGAAACATTTGAAAGAGAATTACAAGTACAAAGAGAGACCATTGTCGATAACCATCCTGATGATCAGGGAATAAAATTTTTTTAGCAAGAGGCAGGAAAGATATCATCTTCACTGATAACGAAACAGAAAAAACAAACATCTCTTTTATTGTTCAACCACTTACAAACGACTCATTAACCTACAGGGAATCACCAAATATGAGAAATTTATGGAGAATATAATCGAGAGAGAGAGAGAGAAGATACCATGAACAATTCCCAAACAAGAAGAAAACTTGAAGAAGCTAATTGTAACCCTTGACTATTAAATCACAACTAGAAATGAATAAGCTAAGAAGACAAGTTCAATTAGTTCGCTATGATTTGAGAATGAAATGCATACTCTTGTCGGTGAACTATATGTTTCAGTTATTTGTTATATTCTGAAAATATGTTATATTCGCCGATAATTGCGTTAAATTGCGTGCTTGATTAATGTAAATCTTAGGGAAAATAGTAGTGCAAAAATTTAGTATCTTTCCTACGAAAATATTTTCCTATTTAAAAGTTGTACTTTTTAAAAAAATAAAAAATAATGACAGTTATATGAGATTAAACTACGTAGGACTAAATAAACTAACCAAAAAATCAACTAAAATTCATCAAAAATAATGCACAATACTTCATTCCCAATTATTGCAATATTATGAAAATACCCTCAAAACAATAAAAAATAAAGCATAAAACTCCTTTACCATCTCCTGGTAAAAGCTCAACAAACATAGAAACTTATATATTACAAAAGAACCCAAGGAGATTCTCCATTTTGACAGGTCACTTTCCAGAAAAGAGATTAACAGGAGAAAAAAATAATACTTTCCTTCAATGCTCAAAGATCCAAAACCAGACTTTGCAAGCATAGCATAGCCCACCTTGCTTGCCTCCCCTTCCCAATTTGCAGAACCTCAACAAACCTTCCTCCTTTTTATGTTTTTCCTTCAAAAAACATGTGAAGAGAGCAGAGCTGGCCCAATAGTATGGAAAATAAAGTCTAAAGTTTAGGCCTCAAATTTTCAGAAGGCTCCATAATTTTAGGTACATTACTAATTAACAAAAAAAATCCCAAAAAAAATTGGGAAAAAAGGTTTTTGAGATGAAATGGACTTCTTTCCTGCTATGGTGAGATCATGAGATGTTAATGTTTTTAAGTTCATCTAGCGTTACTCTTATAAAATTCAGATCCAACTTAAGGTTTGGATGTAAATGAAAAGTATTGATAGCAATGCCCACATTTAAGTCAATACATCTCTCTTTTTATGCAAGAATGTCAACTTGGTCTATGCTACAGGACTTAAAATATAAACTTAATTAATTATTATTATTAATTTTACTATGGATCTAATTATTATTGAGACCCATTATCCATTTAATGGTTATAATCAATCAAGTCCATATTTTAAATTCAAAAAATATTTCTTATGATTTATATTCACTGCTCCAGAAAAATCGGCACGATATCAAAAGTTACAGAAGGTAAGTTTAATGTTAACATGTTCAGGTCATAACCTGGTAAATAAATCAAATTGATATGAATCCGGTTTTGCTTGACACTAAATCGATTATACATGACTTATCACAACATGAATCCAATCATACAATTACATGTAAACGCCAAGCAACTTTGATTTAACATAAGCTCCATGGCTCGACATAACACGATCCACTACCACCAAAGAAGGTTAACAATAGTTTATAAAAAAAAATAAATCAAAATGAAAGGTCGACAGGAGGATTGCCTAATCATCCGAAAAACTACTTCATCAATCAATACTTTTTGGATTATCTTTTCTTTTTCTTTAAAAGTGAAGCCGCCTGCAGAAACATCCTATCAACCTCGTCAAAATCTGGTAACTCTACATCTTTACCCAACAATTTCGCCCTTTTCAAGTCAGCAGATATTTGACGCAGGTGCTCCTCAAAATCTTCTGGGTCTCCATCACTTTGCACTGGAAACTTTTTTAACTCATTCAAGTAAAGAGGTTGTTCTGCATTCTCATCATCTGTGTCGGAGTCTGTCTCAAAAATATCTGACAGAGCTTCAGAATCCGAAACCATACCTGAATCCATCAAAGGGTCATCATCCTCCTGGGACTCGTCATTTCTGGCCATTATTTCTCTCAACTTATCAGGGCTCTCTGATTCCAGATAGGAAAGGTCTCCAGATGTAACAGCATCCGTGCCAATTAATTGGTTTTCTTCAGCAGCCCTAGTTTCACTTCCAGCTTTGCTTTCAGCCTTTGCTCGAAGCAGCTCAAGATCCTGCTCTAGTCTTGGTATATAGTTCCTCACAGATCGGAGTCCATCCCTGTATATGGATTTGTCTAAAGCCTGCATTCCAGGGAAAGAAGAGTAAGAAAAAAGAACCTAGTTCAGCAGGAGGAAAAAGAAACATGATTAAAAGAAAGGCCACTGAATTTTTTTTCCTTTCATATTATCTTGTCTGGAAAGGATGATTAATCGACCTTCTGAATTGGTGGAATCTAAGAAACTCCAGAGAGGAAGAGAGGGAAAGAGTGAGAAATTTTTCTGGGGAATATCTATTGCAATTCACCAAATAGAAGACCAAACCTAATTTAATTTTCTAAAAGTTGTGTATAGCTGTTAGTATTGTTAGAATAGTCTAGTATATTTTAATATTAAGGGTCTAGTCCCTTAATATTAAAATATACTAGACTATCCTACTAAGTATTACATTGAACTTATTGCCATTTTGTGAGCTTTTCAAATTCATGATGAAAAGCTATCTAGAAATGCATTCAGTTTGCTTGATAATAAAAGAAACATGTAAAGAAGAAAAAACCGTTAGACTCATTCAACTCTATTACAGATACACAGACCTTCCCTGTAATATCCCAACATTAATTTGCTAAATATTGATGTTGAACTATCAACTAAGGATTCCGAACATCACCTCAAAGGTGACCTAAATATTATGACGACAATTATTGGCCATCATTACAAACTCCTAGAAGAGACAGTTGATATTTTATTGTAGCATATTAATATTCAATTCAAATCAATACGGACATGAACCCCCATCAACCTGGAGTCACTTTTTAGGTTTATGAGTTTATCTTGAGCTTACATGCTACAAAACAAAGATACAGTGTACCAGAAAGTAGAAAACTAATATGGATACAGTGATTCACAAATTTTTTCAAGCATTCACTAGGCTTGAAATTTTTTGACATGTTTCTGATATTCATTATGTACACATGTAATGCAATCACACGCACGCAAAGTAAGGGAAATGGAATAAAAACCTTCTTCCTAGATAGAGTAGTCCTAGGTGACATTATCTCTGTAGGTGGCTGTGAGTAGTTCTTCCCTCTGTACATAATAATTGTGTTGTCTTCCTGAATGTCAAGCACAATCCCACCACTCAATCTTGCCAGCTCTGTAGCAATCTCCTTGACCTCCTCCAGTGAGAATGTCTTCACCAACAATTTCAGAGTTTGGTGCTTCTTCCAATGCAAGTGCATGTTAAGTATAACCCCCTGGTATATTCCCCGTCTTCCCACTGGCACGTAATTCTTGCATTTCTGGCCCATCTTCAAAAAGTAAAAGTGCTCTTCTGGAGTCAATATCTCTGGATCATGGATTGTTTCCGATGACTCCTTGGGTTCAATTTTCTTAAGAGCTTCAACAAACCTTTCCTCTTTCTTTCGAGCCTACAGCAGCATCGTCAGATTCATCAGTTTTAAATCGACTAAAATGAACAAATTAGGAAATGCTTTGTTTGTGTAATCAGCACATCATAGAATGCAGGTTGGAAGTAGAGATTTTTGGTCGCATACAACGTTGTTCTAGCCTTTTAATTTGTTTTATACCAGTGTCCTTACACGCAAAGCACACCATGTAAACAATTTATAAATTCAAATAATTCTTAAAAATATAGAACATCCCTACGTAGCTTTAACAAGATAGATTCCTGAAATATTATCCTTCAGCTACTTCAATTCTAAAACGTTATACTGCATATTTATAGGATACATACCTAACTGCTACTGACAAATGTAGTTCACACAATGCAACAAACTATAAGCTACCTAATTCAACTGGATTGATATAGAGCAGCCGATAGCATGCATGGCATACAATATGAGTCAAGAATTAAACTGACCACATTTTTCTGACAAAAAGTAATTTTAGAACAAATTCCGCGACAAATAAATAGATGACTTCTACTATACTGATAGCAAAGCCAGAACACCCTGCTAATTGAAAATTAGGGAAACACGACTAATCATCTTTCTAAGAGAAACTTCAACTTATCAACCAAACTAGGAAGTTGACCAAACCTGCTGCACTTGGATGCTAAGTGTTAACCCAATGCTTATGTCTTAAGCTTAGCAAAAGATGGAAGACCCAATCCTCCAGGCCTATCCCCTGGCCCTCACCCCCAAAAAAGAAACTAGTGTGATGAGTAGACCAATTTCAGCAGGATACTACACAAATCAACGTGATTCAGTAGCCAGCTTTGATTGGCCACAATTGGAACACGATTCATGTCACACTTAATGATTTACAAGGCCGGAAATAATAACTCAACCAAGTAAAATCTAACATTCCTAGGCATTATGAAACACGAGAAAACAATTTGTGAAACATCGTGTTGGTTTACTCCTTATGTATCTTAGATTTCATAGATCAAAATATCCAACCATACAGATGGAGTAATAGATTTACCTTCCTCAATTTGTATAGGATTTTTTCTTCTGCTGTCATTCTTTCAAACTCTTTCTTCTTCTTCCACCTGAAGAATTTTAACCACCTCACAACTGCTCGTTTTCCTTTCAGTTTTTTCCTCTTCTTTTTACCATCAGAAACGGCATTGCTTCCAGCCAGCTCCACTGGCTCCACATTTTTGTCAACCATGCTCGAAAACTGTCGCGAATGAGTCCATAAAAGACCTCTGAGGGAAGATCTTTTTGTTTCATAAGGTGGCCCAATAACAATTCCCCAACCATAAACCTTGTACACAATATCATAAAAACTACTAAAGCATGAGATTAACCTAAAGTAGAGAGAATTACAATAATATATGCATACATATTACATTCAACTTCCGGTTTCAATTCAACACGAAGGTCATTACCCAGTTTTGTTCCGGTTGAAGGCTAATAATGGGAGGGGTGAATTCAGGTAAAGATCAAATGTATAAAAGTTTCCAACTTGTAACGCATTTATTTTCCAGCTTTCTTTCCCTCAAAGATGGAGGTTTTCCCCAAACCCAGCTCCCCTCAGAACTTAATTCCAAAAACCTGTCTGTTTTAAACATAATTTCCAAACCCAGTCTTTTTTTGAAAACGTCATTTGAAATGACGCTTTCTTCCTTAAAAAAATCATTCTGAATGACGATTTAACATTGAAATTTTTTTATTGAAAATGTCATTCACAATGACGTTTTTAAATTCGCCATTCATAATGACATTTTTTAACATGAATTTTTTAACGGGAATTAACAGATGTTAAAGAAATAAAGGGATTGAATACTTCATTTGCACTGACGTTTTTAAAAATGTCATTGCAAATGACGATTTAAACGTTAAGACGATTTAAAAATGCCAGATCACTTAAATTTCACAAATCATAGGCTATAGGTCAAAAATTTTCAAACATCTCAACCACTCAACTCTCCTCCTCCTCCAACAACTCTTAGCTCTCCTCCACCTCAACCACTCTCAGCCAGCCGAAGTCTCTTACGAGCTCCAACCATTGAACAGCATTTGTCTCCGACGAGGAAGACCATCGGAGCCTTGTCAAATCTAAGCTTAATCCACAGCTCCACTAGCGAGCAAAGCCTCCACCAACGACTTCAACAAAGAGACTGACCACAGCCTCCACCACTGACTGAGCAATGAGCACATCCTCCACCAGTGAGTCCATTCTCCATTCTCCATTGTCCACTCTTCATTCTCTATTCCAACCTAAATCAATTTTGCCCTAAATATTTTTTTCCCAAAATGGATTTTTGCCCTAAATCAATTTTTGCCCTAATTTCTGGTGAATATAGGGCAAGAGAATAATTTCTGGAGGGAATATCAGACTTAACCTTAGTTAATCATGCAACACTTTATTGTAAAAGAGAAAACCGAAGAGAGAGAGAGACATAGAGGGAAAGGGGGGTGATTTCTATTAGCATTGTCAACAAGTTATCATTTAGTCTATCATAAATTTGATAAGCTCATGATAAAAGCTGCAATCATCAAGACAAGTATATATTCACCAAAAAATTTTCTCTTGCCCCAAATCGACTTTGCCCTAAATCGATCCAGAACACCAATTCTCCATACTATCTATGCTGCCAATTTTGGGTGAATAGTTTGCAATTAAGGTGTATTCTTTGCAATTTAGGAAATAAATTTCAGTTTTATTACCAGTTTGGATGGATTTTTAATTAAGATTTTTTTTTACTTAATTACAATGAATCTATGCTGGTTGTTGCTCGATGGTTGATCTTCGCATGAGATGTTTCCTAGCACGAGATGTTTCCAGGTACTCTTCTAGTTCAATGTTTGGTTAATTATATAGAATGAGAATGATCTTTGAAGATTTTTTTTTTGAATTTGTGTGTTGATTGAACTTACATGCCTCTTTGGAATTGTATATTATTTTTATCTCCTCTAGATGCCCGGGTCAATAGTCATTTATAGTGTGTAAACATGAACGTCTCTTTTGAGTTCTATCTCCCATTGCTATTGGCATGTCATTAAAAGAAAAGAGTGAATTAATTAATGTGTGCTTTGGTTCACACAACATTATAGGCCATTAATGTTCTTGTATAATTTCAAATTGTCATATAGTATAAATAAGTTGCAATTATAAATTAGCAGGATACTATCCTCCATATACCTGTTGTTTTTTGGGAATTAATTTCGCGATTTTATACCTAAAAATGTCTTGACTGCATTTTGTGAGGCAAATGTTAGAAAAGTATATCTATGATGGTTTTGTAACTAATTGACAATCTCCATTGACTTCAGCTGTTTACTACTTGTTGGTTGGTTGGGCTGGTTAATTTTTCAAGTAGCTACAATGTTATCTACATGTGAAAGGACTTCACCGTATGTGTGGCAAATTTGAGAGGTGACTAAATCATCGCTCGGTAGATTTGATTCAAGAGAGGTCTGATAGCTTGGATGGTTGAGTATGGTGATAGTTATAAACAATCCTAGGGAAACCTTTTGTTCCTTATAACATGGAATTTGCTCATATTAACCCTTAAAAAGTGTTGGAGTCCTAATACTTAAGGTATTAATTGACAGGAGCATATCGAATTTAAGTTAGGAGTCACAGAAACAATCTCTCCGCATGAGGGGAAGAGGATGCGTAGATCTGACCTTCTCCAGAGCCCTTGGTAGTAGGAGCCTTGGGACTGGGCTATTCTATGTTTTTCTTCTTTTTAACTTCTAAGATCATTGCTTACCAACTACACATAACAATCTTTTGGCTGGTTTCAAATTTCTTTTGTCTTACTTTTGTTTAATAATGCACAAAAGTTGATGTTCTTCTCTAGAGCCCTTGATAATGAATTTTTTTTGTTGCTTTTGATGTCTGTGAGGTGTTGATTGGATTTTTCGATTCCCTCCTCCCCATCCCACCTCACCACACACGCACAATGGAAAAAAATAAAAAAACTGAAAATCCCAACCCCGTGGTGGTCTGCTTTCCTTTTCTCTATAATGATGTGACTGGCATGGTGTTGATGTGATTGGCTTCTCCAGTATGTCTATTTCTGACTAACAAACATGATGTCTTCCTTGGTACTTGTTGCTTTTGATTCTCTATGTTGCCCATGTTGCTTAGTTATGACAAATGAACAAAGTTTCTCTTAAATTTATTTTTGAAAGCTGTAATTTATAATACAGTTCGAGGGAGCGTGAATTGCTCAAGGAACTTGCTTCTCTGAGTAGCACTCCCAGCAGCCGTTCACCAACTCGTCCTAAAGTTCAGCAAACTGGTTCGTAGTTGCTTTATTACTTTAGACATATTTTGCAATTCATTTATTTATGTGTGCGCATGGATGACAGAATTTAAGTTGCTTTGCCATTTTTTACTATTTTCAGACATCATGTATGGGAATAAATTTCAGAACTTTTTACAGTATAGAACTTTTGCAGATTTTACTTTTAATAATTTATCTGGATTTTGCGATTTGAATATGATGTTTTGTTTTTGTAGCTAAAACCAAAGTTGTTAGTATCGTACGATACGCGATACGTATCGTACGATACGTTACGATACAACCCTAAAACGATACGGATCGTAGTTATGTATCGTTTTTGCGTTGTATCGTCCGATACACGATACGTTTTTACGATACGATACGTATCGATACGATACGCACGATACGTGCAATTTTTTTTTTTTTTTTTTTTTTTTTTTTTTTTTAAAAACGACGTCGTTTTGTGCTCTGATTTTTTTAAAAAAAACGACAAGTGAAGACTTGTTGGCATCCGATCACAATGATGATGATGATGATGCATTTTCAATTGAAATTGAAGATTGAGTTCAAAATGGATGTTAGAAATTTGGATTAGAAGTCTCTTTGGTGTTTAAAGTTTGAATTAGTGAACTATGGTTGTGAACTTTGCATTATAATAGTAGTGGATTATGTTGATAACTTGAATAGTTGGTGGAGTATTAATGAAATGCTATATTTTTTATGAGTGTATGACTTTTTTTCAAAGGTATATATATTTTTTTATTATTTATTTAAAATTGCATCGTATCTTACGATACACGATACGATACACGATACGATACAATATTTGTATCTTACGATACGCCTTCCGATACACGATTTGATAACTATGGCTAAAACTACAGATACTCCAATAAATATTGTCGCAGAGGATACTGATAAATCAGAAGATCAAAATGACCTGTGGAAGAAATTAAAAGATTTTGCTGGGTAATTTTCTTCTATTACTACTGTGGATGATGCATATGAATTAGGCTGAATGGATTCTAAAAGCACCTACATTATCAAATCAACGACAGACTAAACAAATATATTGGAACTACTATACCCCATAGTTTTACCATTTTCTTCATGTCATATTCCTATTTTCCCTGGTTCGTGTCATATTCTGGGATGAAAGGGATTGTTGTAAACTTCTAGGCTCTTAATTGCGAGCAAGGAAGGATACATCATCATTAGTGTTCTGTTATCCTTAGATATATGCATGGACTTTTACTATTAATATGTAACATACGAAACAATGTTTTGGAATGTTGAGGAACTCATGTCTAGTATCAAACCTCGGGCATTAATTTCTAAACCTCTTTCAACGACACGGTAGCAATTTATTGGGCCATTTAATTTTAATTGACTTTTTCTGGCATTCAAAATGGTTTCCATCATCTACATGATAGTGTAAGTAAGAAAAACTTCATGTTTCTTGACCATTCTAGTGTTTTACCCATAATTGTCTTAGAATCAACCTTTCTCTAGTTGATGCTGATTCAACAAGAGTTGTGTCCTTGAAGATATGAGAAATTCTTTGTTATAGCTATAGGTGAGGTCAATGGTCTCCATTAGTAAGAACTTTAGCTCTATGACGTACAGATGAGTGCTAATCTAATGGCATGCCAATGTCCCATCAAATGTTGGGAACTACTGTCCTATCTAGTCTATGTAGCCAAGCTTGTATAAGAAGCCGTATATTGTGTAATGTGCATATGACCTTCAACTTGTACTAGTTGTTGTGGTTGGCAGCTTCTAAAATGGAGTATGATGAAGCTATTCTGTGTATCTTATAGCTTCAATATTACTACTTCTAATGATGCATCTTTTTATATTAGTTTCTCTTTATTTCTTGTATCCTTACTTCCGTCATAATCCCAAAGACCCTTGGGCATTGGAGGTCTATTACAAATGGAGCTCTAAAATGGATGAAAGACAACCTCTAGTCCAATGTGTTGATGAAGGTACAAGGTCATTAATACAGACCTTTGTGCAACATGGGGCCATACATTTTGTGCTCCTGAAAATCGTTACAATAGAATATGCAGGCCTATTCTTCATCACTAAGATGGCCCTAAGTTTCGACTTGAGCTTAACATTCTAGAGGTAATTACTCAACATTTCCTTAACAAGCTTTTTGCTTAAAGCACTTTATAACACATTATAATGCACAGTCTGCTAAAATATTGGTCTGGTTTTGGATATTGCAGGCTCTTTCTCTGTTGGATATATTTGCAGAAAACAATCCTTAAACAACATACCAACATGTCATACTAGCAACACACCTAACATACAATACAATGAAGAAAAAGAGGAGGATGAAAGTAGAAAAGGGTTAGAGAGTGGTTTGGCTACAATATGTTTTGCGAAGAGTTTGAAAGAGGAAGATGAATGGAAAAGGGTTTTGTACATACAACCTGTATGATGATGTATAGTCTTTTTGCATGGAGGCTGTTATTAGAGCTTGTCGTTCTTTGGCTTGGGGTACACTTATATAAAGATAAATAATGAAATATTGAATTCTATTTATCACAGCTTCAAAATGTACAAGAAATGAGTGGTATTGTTGACTCTTTTTTTTTTTTTTTTGAGGTATATGATCATCATAGATAAAGCTTCAAGTCTCCTTTGTTTGTGATGTTGTGAGGAAGCATTGCTATTGTCAAGGATCAAAATTTCGTTTCGAAGTACCGTTTCGGTCAACTCAAAAATAGAAACGTTTCGGAAACATTTCGGAAACGCAATGGAAACGCAGAAAAAATATGGAAACGCATAGAAACACAAATGCAATCCATTAATTTATAAAGATATGCTAAATAATTTATTAATTAAACATATTTATTAGGTTAACATCAATTTATACAAGAATAAATTTAAATTTGAGGGAAAAAAAAGGCTTGACTTGAGGCGAAAGTCACTTAAATTAGTTTCAAACACTTAATTTTTATGAAATAAACACATTTTTACATAATATTAAGGTCTTATAATACACATGAAATGCTAATAAGTACATACTTACGTGGTTACATCCATTCCCCTGTGGAGTGTCGAGCAGGCTCATACATCGGTGTAGGCTCTGGGTAGCTACTTAGAGAAACTCCATATGTGACATAAATATGATGACAATAGTTACTCCAAATCATATTATTACGGTAATATAATCCAATTAATAATACTATTTTATTATAATACTAATAATGAAGGGTATCAAATTAAATTAATGATACTTATGTATATTTAAAAATTAAATGTAATTGCAGTGGGTATTAAATGTAATTACAGTAGGTATTAAATATAATTACATTAGGGTATTAAATATAATTGTTAATACTTATAACAAAAAAAAAGCAAAAAACTTGCACAGCAGTGAGGTATTAAATATAATTACAGTATGTATTAAATATAATTATAATGGGTATTAAATATAATTATAGTAGGGTATTAAGTGTAATTATTTATTCTTATAACAAAAAAATTATAAAAGACAGAAGAGCAGTGGGAATTAAATGTAATTGTAGTGGGATATTAAATATAATTATAGTGAGTATTAAATGTAATTACAGTGGGTATTAAATGTAATTATAATGGGGTATTAAATATAATTATTCATAATGAACCGAATATATCACTGTTTTGTCGAAACGGTACTGTTTCGATCGAAACGGTTCGAAACAATGCCGTTTCGACCGAAACGGTCCGAAACAGTACCGTTTCGACCGAAACACTGGAATTTTGTGATTCAACTACTGTTTCGTTTCGGAGTGTTGAAATTCCGAAACGTTTCGGACGTGTCGACACGACATTTTGATCCTTGGCTATTGTAGAATAACTACTTAACTAGTAGGTGAAATGAATCAAATTCATGATGGCTTGTTTAAAGCTAAAATGCTTTTGAAATTTTAATAATTGGGTTTAATATGTACTGGAATTGACTAGGGAATTCAGTTAGAGAACTTGGATCATTCTCTTTTTAAATTATGCTTTTATGAATTTTATTTTCGATTATAAGATAAGTTCAAAATTATTATGAAAACAGAATTAAATTCTAAAATTTATTTAATTTTTTTTTTTGTCTGGTGAATCATGATGTGAGAAATTAGGTGGAGTAATTAGCTTTTATAAAATTTATTACAAGTAAGTTGGAGACTTTTGGCTAAGAAAAAGCCATTGTAAAAGGCTAAGAAAACGTTTTTAAAACTTCATTGTAAATAAAGGGGTTAAAAATGTCATTGCTAATAAAGGGGCAGAAATCGTCATTGTTAATAAAGTGGGTAGAAATGTTTATAAAGGGGCAGAAAACGTCATTGTAACGTCTGTTAGCAGCCGTTTAAAAATTAATGTTTAAAAACATCATTATAAATGACGACTTTAAAAACGTTAGTAAGAATGACATTTTCAGGAAAAAAATTTCAACTTTAAATCATCATTCCAAATTATGTTTTAACATCTAAAAACGTCATTTCAAATGACTTTTTTTAAAAAAAGCTGAGTTTGGGAAATGAGTTCAAAATTGGCTGTATTTTGGAATTAAGATTTTAGGGGGGCTGGGTTTGGGGAAAACCTCCTCAAAGATGTTACTAGCATCAGTCATATTATTTTTGTTCGGTAATAAACAATTTCCACTAGCCAGTGTTCTGTTTATCTTGAGATTTCTCAAACCCAAATTTCATATAAACAACTTGATTTAAATAGAAGTGGGAAATCCAAGGAAATAGCCAGGGTTGGAAATATCGATCCATTCATTAGGTTGGGCGTGGTTAAACAACCAAAGAGCCAATCCATTGCTTACACAAGCTTCATGCAATTCAAAATGAATAAAACCCACATATACGCAATGCTACTACTTCAGGAAAAAAAAGAAGAAGAAGAAGAAAGAAACAGAGACCAAACAAACAAGATAGAGAAAACTCAGGAGTTGAGCAAAACTGTGTTCATCCATTCAAAGCCACGAGACATTGGAGCTTTGGGCCTTCTCAAATTTTCAAGAAAATCAAATCAATCCACTAGGTTCAAACGAAAGAGAGAGAGAGTACTTGGACCTGTGAGGAAAGGATTGAGGTATGAAGGGGATGAAGATTAGAGATTTACAGAATAAAGGCGATAAATCCCCCTTATACAAATACACAACTACTAGTCCACAGATTGCATGCAAGAGTTGGACGATAGGTCCAAAACCTCACAAATAACACACCCATGTACTTTATAGCATTCAGCATACTTCAAGTTGAAGTCGAGCATCGAGAAAGCTTGACATCCGACCACATCACAGCCGAAAACAGCCCTAATCCAATTCTAAAACATGTTATTGACGAAAGTACCTCAACTTCCTACCATTCTAGCCATCTGCCGGGTGGGGGGGGAGGGGGGGGCCGAAATCTTTCTTCGGGTAGAACATCTTAACCTTTTTCTTTGTACTAGTTAGAAGGTGAAAGCCTGGTCGTCTTCAAAAATAACTGATTTTCACCATATACCAATTCCCTCACTCATCCATTTTAGTCTTCAGGATGACATCATTTTCTACCCTAACATCTTGTTCAAATATTTCCAGGTTAATGATCAGAATAACCTGGTAATGTTCTAGCCTCCTCCTATCCAATCATTGGAGCTGAACGGGTGTAATAACCTGCACTGAATCCAGTCTATGCACATTCAAAACTAAAGCCGCACTTCAAGCTCTATGCCTGAATCAACTTATTCACCTCAAGACACCTCCTACAGGGTACTCAAGTACAAAATGTAAGCTGCAATCTTGAGCAAAACTTTACCCCATGATAAAAAGGATGAGAACTAAACATTCAATCTTGGGAAGTCCAACCAATAAATTTACTTGGGCAAACTTTTCAATGATTGCAAGAAAATGAGATAATTGCACAAGTAACATCCAATTACCACATAAGTTTATGTAGGAAAAAATTCCAAGACTTCTTCCCTAAATTTAAACAATTCTGGCCATTGGGAGATTAGAGCAAGAATTTTAACAACTACCAATCAAATAGCAAAAGGTACAAGAACCAATTATGTACCTCATACCCCACACAACACAGTTAGGCAACAAATCCATATCAAACTTCACACATTTTTTCGCAACAACTTCAAGCATTAAACCATATGAAGTACCAAAAGTATGCACGTTATTAATTCAAATAAAATCCCCTCAAAATCCATCCAGAGAACCTTACAATAGTTAATATCAATTTGGAAAACCTCTTACCGAATGTCCCACGGCTTCGGCTTCGGCTTCGGCTCCGGCAAGGCCACAACAATCCCTTCAAGGTCCTGAGTAAGCACAACCTGACACCCCAACCTCGAATGCTTATTCAAAACCCTATTCCTCGAATTCCTTTTCAGCTCATACTGCTCATCGTACGAGGCCGGAGGCAATCTTTCCAGCCACTCCTGAGCAATATTTACCTCGCACTCAGCCGAACACGGGTCGATCTCTTCGAGCCTATGCGACGCCGGATCCATCAAACAGTTGTTGGCAAGCGCTTTCAGGAGTGTTTGGCCCGACAGGCCGACAATCTCTTGTTTTTTCCCGTCAAAGTCGATTGCGAAGGATTTCCCGATTCGATCCGAGCCTTTTTTGGAGGTGGATGGGGTTGGCATTGATGATGAAGCCGATGATCCTGTGATTATTGCTTTGGAATAGAAAGAGAGCGAAGGGTTAATGGATATTCGGGAAGAGAGCTTTTGCAGAGAAGCGATCGCCATTGATGAGGATTCGAGAAAAAAAAAACCAAGATGCAAATGGTGGGGATGATGAATATTGATTTATGGGCTGACTGGTTTCTCTGCGGTGAAATACAATACGGTTTGGGCGAAGTGAGTGAACGCGTGCGAAGGAAGTTCGGTGCTTTTAAGTGCCACGTCAGCAACTATAATGTAATGGCGACGAATGTCCCGTATATTTATCTTAATATTAAGAATAATGCTATACTCACCAAATTTATTGACTAAATATTTATCTCAAATGACATGTCAGCATATTATTTAAAGTTTTTATTGGGCCTAAATGATATGACATCAAATAAAAAGCCCAAGTCAGCTGTCATATCATTTGGAATAGATATTTGGTTTCAAAATTTAGTCACTCTAGCATTATTGTAATATTAAAAAAAATAAGAGAAAATTTTATCTACACCCCCTCTAGTTTATCATATTTTTAAAGATATTCTCTCTATTATTCAAAACATCATTAACACCCCTTCTAGTTTATATTTAAACATCACTAACACCATTGCCATTAAACAATCATTTCTAATAAAAAATTTTATCTAAAATACTAAAATTATCCCTATATAAACGCTCAACAATCTTTTTACATAAAATTTAATTGAAATTCAAGTCAATTAAAATTTATTTTTTTATAAATTAAAATTCGAGTTGTTTAAATTATTTTTTACATATTAAAATTTGACCCTACTAAAATTTAATTCAAAATGATTAAATTTTATTTTTTTATGTATTAAAATTCGAGCCTATTAAAAAAAATTTTACGTATTAAAATTCGACTCGATTTGAACTCAACCTGAACTGTTAATGCCAATTAAAATTTAATTATAGTTGATTAAAATTTATATTTTTTACTTATTAAAATCCGTGTCAATTAAAATTTGATTCAAGTTAATTAAAATTTATTTTGAACAAATTAAAATTTGAGTAGATTAAAATTTATTTTTTTTTACGTATCAAAATTCAGGCAAATTAAAATTCAAGGCGAGTTGATTAAAATTTGATTCAAGCTGATTAAAAATGGATTTTATTCGGCTCGAATCAAATTTTAATCGACCCAAATTTTAATCGACCCAAATTTTAATACGTACAAAAATTTATAAAATAGAGGAGATCTCATTAAAGATATGTCTATTTAGAGGGGTGTAGATAAAATTTTTTCTAAAATATATCATAAGTAATTTAGTAAAATTGTATTCTAGTTAAAGTCTTTAATATAATAGAGGGTGTCAGTGAAAGTTTGAAAATTAGAGAGGATGTTCTTGAACATATGATAAACTAGAGGATATGTGATTAAAATTTTTCTAAAATTTAAATTCACAACTTAAAAAACTAAAACAACGATGGCAACTTTTGTCGGTATTCCATCCACTTCACTTTCTTCTCAAACTTTTTCTCTTCACTTTTCTCTCATTTTTTTGTTATCAGGATCCACTATTTTACGTAAATAAAGGCCCAGGATTTAATTCTCCTGGGTTTCTATCTCGACGAATTTGGACAAGCATTCATCGATGTGGGGATAGATTAACTCGTGATTACAAATGATTAAAATACTATTTGATTATATCCAAATCTTTTGAGATTTGTTACTTAATCATTCACACCTCTTGATATTTGAAATATTATACACATGAGTTCAAAATAAATGAGTGTAATAAATGTGTATATATCAAGTGCACGCATAATAGATACATTATTGTATGTCATTATGTAGACGGCATGTTAATTATAGGTAATAATAACGACGTCATTAAAGCTACCAAGCGGATGTTGACAAATAGGTTTGAATAAAAAACTTAGGTATTGTTGATATTATATTAAGAATTAAAACTTCTAAAATGTTAGATGAACTCATGTATCTCAATCTCATTATATTGATAAAATATTTGACAAGTTCAAGAAGTATAGGATAAAACCTATGAGAACATTTGTCGATGTTAATATCCGTCTTTCTAAGAATAAAGGTAGAGTATATCACAATTAGAATATGCACGTATAATTGGTAATTTAATGTACACAATTAATTGTACTCGTTCGGATATAGCATACTCAGTGAGTAAGCTAAGTCGATATATAAGTAATCCCAGAAATGACCACCGGAAAGCAATTATTAGAGTTTTGGGATATTTAAAACATATTTAAAATTATGGTTTGCACTACGCAAAATATCCAACAGTACTCGAGGGATATACTGATGCTAATTAGATTTCCGATAATAAAGATTCAAAATTCACAAGTGGATATGTCTTTACCTTGAATAGTGTAGTCATGTCTTGAAAATCCCCAAAGCAAACATGTATTGCTAGATCTACATTGCAATTTGAGTTCATTGCCTTAGATAAAAGCTGAAGAAAAAGTAGAATGACTTTGTAACTTCATGGAGAATATTTCAAATTGGCCAAAGTTTGTGTCTGCAATATGCATTCACTATGACAGCTAATCTACAATTGGAAGAGAATGAAATTGTATGTATAAAAGTAAGAGTGTGTTTGAATTGATTTAAAAAAAGTGTTTTTTGGACTTTTGACTTATCATAAGTGCTTTCATAAAAAAAAATAGTGTTTGGATTAACTTATTAAAAGTACTTTTAAAAAAGTAAAAACCATTTTACCACTTAGATAAGCTCAAAAATAAAAGTTAAAAAATATAACTTTTACAAAAGTTTTTGATTTTGACAAAGCCGTTTACTTAAAACGGTGTTAAGGAATGCTGAAGGTTGTATGGTAGTTGTTGCTTCGGTTTTTTATGGGGCAGGCTCTAACATGCAGATTGAGTGTAAGGCTTTGTGTTAATGGCCTGAATTTGGTGCTGTAGTATGGGTTGGGGGATTACCCTTTACTGATTGAATTTGATTCTCAGATTCTGGTGATGATGGTTCATGGGAAGGCTGCGATTCCATGGAAAGGTCGAAGGGTTTTAAGATATAAAGTTACTACAATCACTACAGGTCTCTTACTCTGGTGCAGTGAGGATACACATTTGGTGGATAGCTCGGAAATTCCCAACTAATGGATTGATTAAGCTTAATGTGGATGGTGCTTTCAAAAGGGAATCCTGGGGAGTTAGGAGGAGGGGCTATTCTTCGGAATTCTATGGGTCAATTGATACTGGCAAGTTCCTTTATTATGGTAGTTGCGGAGATGCAGGCTCTGTTAAGTGGTCTGCAACTATTGCAAGAATATGGTCTTCAAATCTATGAGTTGATCATTGAGACAGACTCAAAAATGTTAGTTGACATGGTCAATAAGAGGATTAAGGTATCTTGGAAGTGCTGGGTTCTTTTAGAACAAATTTTTTCTACCCTTCAAAATTTTACATTTCAAATTCAGCATAGTTATCGTGAGGGCAACATGGTGGCTGATGTTTTGGCAAACAAGGGGGTAACAGATAAACAATCTTTCACTTATGACTCTTTAGACAGTCTTCCTACACAAATTAGGCTACTTATGATACAGGATTCAAGACAAATTAGAAATCTAAGGAAAAAAATATTCTTCTACGACCCAGCTGGATACTTCAATGTTGGAAGTCTTCGTCTCTGTGGTGGTATTTTCTGGCTATTCATCTTCTATACACAGTACCACCATGGAATGGCATGAAAATTTCTTCATAGTACTGTTCATGATACTATTCACTGCACTATTCATGCTGCAAAGCCATTTTATTAACCATTCGGATAGGCAAAATAAAGCAAACAAAAATATAATTTTGATCCAAATCTCTGTGAATTCCATGCACTTGAACATCAAAGCAAGGATTCTATGAAATATTCTCAACAACAGTGGATAGAAAAATTGTATTCTAGAAGTTCTGAGACCTCCACTGTTAACGAATTCAAGCTAAGCAACCAGGTTTTAATGTTTGATCAACCACGGTCGAGACCAAGGTGAAAAAGTTTAGAAAAACATGTGAAGGAAATGAAGAACAGAGCATAGAATACTTGTGGTGAAAGGAAGACAAAGCCTGGAGATGCTGCCAAGGCTGGGGAAAAGGAACGAATATTTGGGGGTTGTGTTGCCAGGACCCAAAATGCAAGGAATGGAGACAAAAAATCAATATGCAAGATTGCTGACCTATTCTACAATCGGCAATGCACATGAGTTGACAGGTACAAAGCACCCAAGGTGTTACAAAGATATTCTCCATGTAAAGTCCACACCATCTTGGTTGAGCTATTTGAATGCTTCATTGATTATTAAAGTCAAAAAAAAAAATAAAAAAATTTGTTGCTTATGATCCAGTGGAAGGGGACTAGAAATTCAGAGTTCAGCACTTCAGTTGATACTACTTCAAAGATGAGAATGAATATGAAACAGTTTTTGACAATGTTTTTTTTTTTTGCTGATTGCTGGCCTAAAGAAGATAGGTAGTTTGATGACAAAAGAATCTAGGGTTGTGCATCCATGGCTGCGTTGATGTCGAGGTCTATGTGATGGCTTTGCCAAATTTGCGTTGTCTACAATTTTTTTCTTTTTTTTGGGGTTTGAATCTCTCTAAACATGGTGATATTTTTTTGGGTATCATTATATGTGTAGTGTATGTTTGTATATGTGCATGTAATGTTATTAACAATTGTGACATAAATAAGTGTTTTCACATCCAAACGTGCTTTTTATAAAATACTTTAATTTAAGTACTTTAAATATTGAATATCCAAACAATACTTATTTAATAAAAGTGTTTTTCTTATAAACATTTATTAAAAAAGTACTTTTTGAATTTCATAAGTCATTCCAAACGCACACAATATAGTTAGACAATCGCTCTCTAATGATATTATATCCATTTACTATGTGAAGTCAAAGGATAATATTGTGGATCCGCTTACAAAAAGGTTGACTAGAAAGCAAATGGAAAGTTCATCGAGGGAAATGAGTTTAAAGCCTATTACTTAACCAATAGTCACCATAATGACAACCCAACTTAGTTGATTGTAGATCTCAATATTTAAATTCAAAGGGACGACCAAATTATGTGTAACTCAGTACGCAATGAAGAGATTTTTTAAACTCCTTCTCATTCTTATGATGAGATAGTACACATCTGTCGCAAGAAC